CCATTGTTCATGGGATTTCAAAGGAAGCGACGGATTTCAATTTCTCACAATCCAGCAAACCAAACACTGGATTGGAATGGATTTCAAATCCAAATCCCCCCAATTCCATTCCAATCACGCAAACCAAACGCCCTTAGGGCGTGTTTGGTTTGAGGGATTTGGAGGGATTTGGAGGGATTTGGATTTGAAATCCAATCCAACCCTGTGTTTGGTTTGCTGGATTGTGAATATTTGAAATCCATGGATTCCTTTGAAATCCCTTGAACGCTGGATTTGGAAATCCTTCCAAAACACACGGGATTTGAAATCCCTTCCCTTACATCGTCTCCATCGTCTCCCACAGTACATGCTTGCCCTAACTCGTCTCCATCCCGTCGCCTTTCGCCCTTCCTCTCCCTCCGTCACCGTCGCCGTCGCCGTTCATCTCCCTCCGTCACCGTCGCCGTCGCCCTTCCTCTCCGTCGCCGCCTCCGTAGGTGGTCGTCGCTCACCGTCTCCGTCGCCCACCGTCTCCGTCGCCCTTCGTCGCCCACCGTCTCCGTCGCCCTTCGTCGCCCTTCGTCTCCGTTCGTCTCCGTTCGTCGCCGTTCGTCTCCGTTCGTCGCCGTTCGTCTCCCTTCGTCGCCGTTCGTCTCCCTCCGTCTCCGTCGCCGTCGCCTTCGTCTCCGTCGCCGCCTCCGTCGCCGCCTCCGTCGGTCAACAGGTGAATCCCTTTCCCCTTTTCGATTTCTGTAGTTCTCGATAATTTGCTGGATTGAGGAATCCTCGATAATTTTCGATTTCTGTAGTTCTCAATACTACAAATCCTACAAACCAAACAAAGGAATGGATTTCAAATCCAATCCAATCCAAATCCCATGGAATCCAAATCCCTATTAGGAATCCAAATCCCTCAAAAACATTCCTGCAAACCAAACGCACCCTTAGAGTATTTTTAACAGGTTTTTTAAAAGTTCTTCAAAATAAATAAATTATAATTTAAAATATTCGATCACATTCAACACTAAAAGATTCTTTATTTTAAACATTATAAAATTATTTATATTATTAACTATTGTATATTGCTAATACAATATTATTTTATCTTTTCGAAACATTTAATTTCAATTTTTTTATCAGTGGAAATATAATAAAATATTATTTTACTTTTATGGTAATAGTTTATGAAGAATTCTTCAAATTTAGAGGATTATATATGCTCTCTCTTATACTTTATTTTCCACTTAAATTTACTATGATCAATATCACGTATGATATTTTGACGAAAATTTACAGTTTTTTTGTGAATATAAATATCGGAATTGTGGATATCATTTGTGGTTTTTGTCAAAAGTTGTAAAAAAATCTTAAATAAATTATTTCAATAAAAAAATAAATATTATAAATGTCATACAAAAATAAAAAGTAAAAAATTAATCATGAAAATTATATTAAAAAAATCTTAAATAAAGATCTTAATTAAGAAATAGATTAATTTTCATTTATAATCCATATGCAACAAATGCCACATATGCTTTTGGACGATTTTAAAAGTTTTATCTAATACATGATTTAAGTAAATAATTGTCTGAGATTTATCCTCTTATTTTCTTATTTGACAGCATTCTCGTTTGAACTTCATTCATTTGACCATATCCAACAGATTTTTCAAAAGTTTTCAAAAAAGGAAAAAAAAATCATTGATAAAATCTTTAAAATTAATTACATTCAAACTCTAAAAAATTCTTTATTTTAAAGATTACAATATTATTTATATTATTAATTATTTTATACTTGTAATAAAATATTTTTTTTTTTCATAAAACATTTAATGTCAAAGTTTTTATTAGGGGAAATATAATAAAAGTTCATTCTTTTTTTAATTATAATTTTTAGGAAAGTTCTTTGAATTTAGAGAATTTCATACATTCTCTCTCATAAGTTCTCTATTTTAAATAAAACATTAGAGGATCTGTTAGAGCAAGAAATTTGCTCTAAATCTTTATTTTCTTTCATTTTTGTAGAATTTGTTAGAGACGTTCTTACGTTTCCTATATATATATACATATATATATACATATATATATATATGGGGCTTAATCAAATGAGAACTGATTAGTTTGTGTTAACTGTGAGATCCAATCTCAACCACAAATCAACGGATAAATTAGAAAATTAATAATTATGGTAGTTTGAGTTAAAATTATAATTAAAAATTATTTTAGGTATTTTTAAAAAACTCATCTCTTCTCTCTTCTCTCTCCTCTCTCCTCTCTCATCTCTCCGACCTACAATCTCCGGCCTCCGGTGAACAAAAATCCGGCAGTTACCAAGTAATCACAAAAATACAATGTGATACCCATTGTGATATACAGTGCTACCCAAATGGTATCATAGTATATCACAATGAGAATTGGTACTTGCCGTATTTTTGTTCACCGGAGGCCGGAGATTGGAGGTCGGAGATGAGAGAGGAGAGAAGAGTTTTTTTAAATACCTAAAATGCCCTATAATTATAATTTTAACTCAAACTACCATAATTATTAATTTCTTAATTTATGCGTTAATTTGCGGTTGAGATTGGATCTTACAGTTACCACAAACTAATCAGTTTTCTCTTAAATGGACCCTATATATATATATATATATATATATATATATATATATATATATATATATATATATATATCTTTGAGTTGAAGGGAAGTTGTTGCTACTCCCGACCATGAACCACTCCGTTTTTAACTTTTATCATAAAAAGATTCACTCCATCGCCTTTAAAACCTTTTTTTATTGTCAATCATTTCACAAAGAATTCATGGTTACATATGTTTAAAATATTATTGAAAACAATAAAACTTTTTCATGAACAATAAACATGTGTAATAAAATGGCTATTTAGTTGATTTTTCATTAAGTCCTATCTAAATAAATATTTTTGTTTTCAAAGGTTTTTTCATAAATACATGTAAATAATTTGTATCTTTTTCCATTTAATTTAGTCAATTTAGCTTGATAAATGATATGTTTTACCATGATAGTTCATCACGTAAAGCAATTGAAAATGATCATGCACCATATTCTATTACAACTTATCTCCTAAAAAACACAACACAACCCCAAATCCTCTAATATACATAAAGGGCACACACTCGTCAGCCACGATTTACCTTCGGAATTCATAATATTTCCTTTAATTACCTTGTATTGTTTTTTTTTTATGTCAAAATACAGTCTAATATTCCTCTCAAAGATTTGAAGCCCTTATACGAAGTTGAGTAATTCACACGGTGCTTTTTTAGTAAGCATAACGACTTAGTAGGGACCAAACCAGACTAAGGGATTGTTTACCAAACACTTATTCGGACAAGTGAACATCAAGTTACATTATCTTACCGGATGAATATGATAAAGACGAAAAATCTTACCCAGTAAGTGATGACGACTTACCATGGTAAATGCTTACCAGGTATATTGTTAGGTACGATACCATTTTGGTGGACTAAAATCTTACCTGGTAAGTAAACAACAGTATTAAATTTACCAGTAATTGCTTACAGGATAGGTGTTTGATAAACGGACCATAACTAGTACCGATCATAATCATACCAAATAAATTAGTACCGAACTCTTTTGAGAGAGATGAATAGAAAAGGTAAATTGCAAAATGAACCTTGAAGTTTTGTATTTAGCAAAAAGCAACCCCACCATCAAAAATTTCTTACATACACACCCCAAACGAGATACCATTCTCTTGTATATACTCCACCCATCTTCTAGAACCTTAATGCTCTTTTTTCTTTTTAATTTCTTTTTCTAAAAAACTACTAACTTTTTTTTTTAATAAAAATGAAATTAGAGAAAAGAAAGAAAAAGAGTGGACAAAAATCATCCAGAATCAAAAAGGAACGACGTCGCTGCACGCAAAATCATCCGAATTCCTAATCGATTGTTCCGGCCACGAATCCCGGAGCAGTTTCAACAGCATTTGCGCTTTTCGCTTTGCACGCTCTGTACAATCGCTCTGTACAAGCAACAACAGCTGCGTCAACACCCCCGCCGCCACCGCCTCCCTCTGCAGCCCTTCCGCCGCCGAGCAAAGGGACAGAAGTGCTCCGGCTGCGTATTCCGTCGCTCTATCGGATATTTTCAGGATGATTTTTACCAACAGAGGTACGATGAGCGCGTGAGACGCGAATGCCGCGCATCCTTGTGGTATTCGGCATAGAAGCTCGATCGTCGCTAGAGCTCTCTCTGCGTCGCATTTCTCGAAATCCGCTAGCCGGTCAATCAGTGCCTCCACAGCTCCGGCCTCCACCGCCTTGTGACGGTGTTGCTTCACCAGGCATAAAGCAAATAACGCCTTGATTCCTACTTTCATTGCTCGCGGATATGTCAAAGGATAATTCAGAATTCCGACAATTCTGTCGAAAATCTCATCGCGATTGCTGATTTCTGCTCTGTGCTCCGGAGATCTCGTTCCGGCGACGACGTTCTCAAGCAAGGAGGCTGCGTTTACTCGGACATCAATAGACGAATGCGAGAGAAGAGAGATTAGGTAGGAAATACGATCGGGATCCGAGGACACCAAAAGACACTCCGATTCAGAAAGTGGGAAGGAAGATAGAACCGCGAGAGACTCGAGATTCAACTCGGACGAGTTGGAGTTCGTTTCCGAGAACAACACCCCAAGCAGCACCTCACGTGCGTTATGCGTTGAGATCACCGAACGATTTTTATCCGAGTCACGTGCCAGCCCACGGAGGCGACGAAGGACGGCCAGCCTGGCATGTCTAGAATTAGACTCAGAGGCCGCCTGGTTGAGCAACGACCTCACCATGACTGGATCCGCCGGTTGTTTTGGCGTTGGAATCCGCTCCACACCGTAGGAGCGGTTGGCGACACACCATTCCTGGATGAGGCGGCGTAGGGTGTGGTTAGGAATGAGGGTGAAGTCGGTAAGAGGAAGTCGGGTGACGGGGCAGGTGGTGTTTCCGGTGGCCGCCCATGACTCGATGCTTGAACGGTCGTAGGTCTGACCGGTGCCGACGATGACCGGGTCCCTCATAAGCTCAAGAGAGATCGGACACCTGAAATGATATGGGATCTGGACACCCAGGTCCAACGGCTCTAAGCTCCCAGGCATGTTTTCCTACCTTTTAACACTCCCAGATTCTGTGTTTGCCTATCTCTGTGTATATATATGTGCACAAACAAAGGACTCCGTAAATTCTATTTGAGTTAGTTCTATCTTTGGGTTTGGCTTTTTGACATATATACGAAATTGACGAGAGGGACAAACCCAACAGAGGGTCTCCGTAGAAGGGGAGTTTTGTTTTGGAGAGGAAGAGAGGTTCGGGCTGTGGCCCCTTTTATCTGACTATGGTACTTCTTTTCTTCTCCACACGTGTGTACCCATTAACTTGAGCCTTAACCATAGTTGTTGAATGGAGTGGGGTCTGGTCAAAGGTGAGTAGGACCCACTTTCATGCTGGAAGGATATCTAACTCCCATTTACATCAACAGGCCCTCCTCCTTTTCTTCTTTGCATTGTTTATTACCCATTTGTAATTTTGTATGTCGTTGAAACTTTGGATTATTGCCTATTTTTATTCTCACACATTATCTTTCCATCTTTATTTTTAGAGTTGAGACGATTCTTTATTGATATAAAAGGGGTAAATAATAATGAAGTAAACCTTAATCGACTAGTGAAACTCTTGATTCTTATTGGAACAACGTCTCAATTGACCATAACATTGTGGGCCAAACTTTAGAGGTTTTCCGGATCAACACCACCTACCAAGTAAAAACCGTAACTAGCTTCTTCAATTACGAGATGATATGTACCAATTTGAAATGAAATCTTTGTGTCAAAGGGTTGTTAAATTGATCAAAGGTAGGTTGTGGTCCAGCAATAATATGCTAAAGTCATTTGGGGACCTGAGTATTGACTCTTTCTCATTAGCCTATGACCTAACTCACATGGTGGTGGAGCTTAAAGTTTTGGTAGCGAATGAACATAATCAAAAGCTTTCTTTTTTGCCTTTAGAATTTACAGCCTTAGCAATTGGTAAAAGGTGTGATGATTTTGGAAGTATTGTGAGGAGTACATATCCACATGGTGACTTTATTCCTTGACCAAAATAAATGCAAGATATGTTTGAATGATATTTGGGGAATGTACGTATCATTTGTTATATAAATGTGAGTTTGATTACAATGTTTGACCAGTGCAGTGGCATAGGTAGTCAAAGAGGGGTATTGAAAACCACATGAGATAGATAAATAAAGTAAAAAATGATGGTTTGATTGGTTTGTGTTGGTCTAGAAAAATCACAAGCCATTAAGGATGATGTCATCCCCACAACACAAATAATAAACACATATTATAGTTTACTATAATGAGGTAGATGGAGTGATTGCTTCAATCTTTGAATCCCAAACAACTATTGGAAAGGGACCTTTTATTTATTTATTTTAAATATTTATGGGAATTATAATGGATAGGTGGGTGTGGGTGTGGGTGTCTTGCACATTATAATTCCAATGTAGGCAATTTCTAAAATGTATGTTGAAAGTGGTTTACACCTAAAGAGTGTTGTCATTTGTGCAAATCACCAAATGAGAGAGACACAACTTTAGAACTGCAGTTGGCCAAACAAAGCAGGTTTGCTTATTGGTGTTCTTTTTGAATTTAGACTTTACTTCATACCCCATTTCCTTTCTAAGCCCTAAAAGGCATTTATTATAAAATGATAATTATAATTCCTTACAACTTTAGGGTTATTTACTAAACACTTACCTAGCAAGTGTTTACGGGTAAAATTTAACACTATTATTTACTTAGCGGTAAGATTTTAGTCTACCAAAACGACACCATATGAAACAATGTACCTGGTAAGCGTTTACCGTAGTAAGAATCGTCGTCCTTACTTACCGGGTAAGACTCTTGGTCTTTTTCTCGTTCATACAGGGTAAGATTCTTGGTCCTTACCATTTTCATTCGATGAGGTAGTGTGACTTGGTAAGAGCTTATATGATAAGCATTTGGTAAACCACTCATTTAATTTATTTTATAAATTCACTTGATATTTTTAATTTAGTTAGTTATAAGTTAGATTCTTGAAAAAAATACTTCTAGTAGTGTTTGATAAGTTTAAGGGTTTCTTTTTAATATTTCAACATGTATTTTTATTTTATTTTAATAAACATGACTGTTAAATATATAATATAATATTTATTAATCAACAAATAATTTATCTTAAGAGTTAACTTATTAGATAGTTTAACAAATATAATTATTAATTATTAATTATTGATGTGTAAAATATTAAATATATAATACAATATTTGTTAATTATATACATTTCTACTAAAGATTTGGTATTCTATACTATTTGATTAAATTGTAGATAATATAAGAGATATTGTAACTTTAAATTCAAAGTTAAGAAATCTTAAGGAGTGTTTGGGATTGCTTATAAAAAYAAYTTATTGAYTTATTCTGGTGTGGCACCGGTAATAAGTAYTTTTGAGTGTTTGGATAAACAACTTATACCGGTACCAAATCGGTAATAAGAAGTTTTTGAAGAAGTTAAATAATTTTAATTTATTATAAGTTGATAAGGAATTTTGTAAAAAAAATATAAATTAATAATTATTACAAATAAACATAAGAAGTAAAAATTTCCATTAAAATTTAATTTGTAAAAGAAAGCAAAGTTGAAGAGGGAAGGTCGGTTTAAAAAGGGAAGGGTGGGGGAGTCAAAGGTCAAAGATGGGCAGGAATGTGCGGGGGCCAGGTAAGGTTGTCGCATCTTTCCTTCTTTATTCGTGCTCCCGCCCCTGGATAACACTACCCACTGGGTCCCACTCCCCCCAACCCAAATTTGCCACCCCTCGCATCTTCTTTGTTTTTCACATTTTCCTTTTTTAATTATAAAAAAAACTCATGTTAAATTCTATCATTAGTTGCTTTAATTAAAATTTCATTTGTCAAACTACCTAATGGATAGGCTAACAGTTAATTGATAGAGTAACTGATTACTGATAAGATGATTCATAGATGATATTTTATCTGATTAACTAATTATGTCTGATAAAAACTAATTGAAAAACGTAAATAACATTAAAAGGTATAAAATTTTTAACATTTTATAATGTATTTAAAATAATCACTAATAATACAATATTTTAATACATACAAATTTTGACATTGAAAATGGAACCAATTTTGAGCTGCTTCTTATTTTGGGGGAACAAACTTTGGAAAACTATCATTTTAGTGCTAATGCAAACTTTTCATTTATTAGAAGATCTCGATTATCTGTTCAGAAGGTAACCGGTTACCTCTAGATGATGTGGTATGAAATAAAATAAGTGCTATAGTATAGTGTTGATTACAACTTGAACTCTGCTCGATCCACTCGGACCACTCCATCTTCACTCGTTTTGACGACTGACATCATTTCCCCATAACAACATATCCACCACCCACCCATTGTAAAGATGGCCTTTTCAGACCCTTTTCTTGAAATCGTACATTGGTTTCACCTCTACCCCTCACAAGAGATGGAAATTACAATAAAACAACCTCCCAAACCCTTAGAATTTGCCAAGGATGTGGACTACCAATGTAAGAGTCTGACCCTAAACAACTTGGCTTTTTCATCATACTCACCGTCAAAGATTCAAATTACAAATTACCCCTTTGATAAAAACCCATTAGCAAAGGAAACCCACATTCCATATTATCTTAAAAACGACTTTTTGGTTGAATATCACGAAGACCATAAAAACCCTAGGCCTAAATCGCCTGAAAGGCTGGTTGTTTCTATGAGGTGCCACAACTTAAAGAATTACGAATGTCACGAATCAAAACATTGAAAACTTGTTGCCTGATTTCGACTTTGATCATATGGTTAGTTGGCTGGGCTAAGAGGACACATTTGGGTCATAGGGGTGAGAGAGTTCAAGAGAGGTGTGTGGTGATTGTTGGTGGGTGGAGGGTTGAGGTGGCTATGGAGGTTGAGGAAGAAAGCGGTCGGAGCAGTGTAGTGTGTAGCCGAAGGCCGGAACATGGTGAAGCCGCTTGTGTACAATTCGGGAAGTGGGTGACTATTGAGGAAGAAGAAAATGAACAATATTCGTGTTTGGCCCAACCAAGTTTTAATATCTTATGAGATGCTTGTTTAAATCTTTAAATATGACTTGAAATTTAGTCCTTCCACGTCAATATTATTATGTAATGAGATAATGAATACTTTTAAATAAATGTAAAGTCTGATTTAAACCCTAAAACGATAATTTTGAAAGTTTGTTTCTTAAATAAGGAATCATGTCAAAGTTGGGTCAATTTTGATACAATTCCCTAATATATTAATAATAGAGTTTCAATTATCATCAAGTAACACACTGCGATCTCACCTTGTGAGCACAATATGAACACCAACATACCAAAAACAGAAAACTAAAGAAATTACAAGTCTCTAAAAATATTGTGTGTATACACATTGTGAACAGAATGAATAATCAAATTTGAACACTCGTCAAACATCTCCGATAAACACAGAACCAAAAACATATAGTATCACGATTTGAACTACTATCAAATATACCACATATTTTTTACATGTTATGATCATCTTGTGAAGACAATATAACCCAACAACATCAAGAACAAAAAAACTAAAAATTACTAAAACATTATGTAATGATTTGGATATACATCGTGAACAATTAATTACTGTTTTTATGGATGAGTTATGAATTACTTCTTCATGGGAGTTATGGATTTTAAATTTACGGAGGGAATAAATTCTACATTTATGAGTTTTATTTTTTATTACAAAATTACTTTTTTTTAATTTATTTAATAAAAAATATAATTATTTTAAATAAGTGGTTTATATTAGATATTATTTGACTCAGCTCCTATATATAATACTATAAATTTTAGATTTTGTTTAACCAAATACGAATTTTAGAAAAATAGTTACGTTAGACGATGAGTTTAAATAATCAATATATATATATATGGATTTTTTTTATTATTTTGAAAAATGCATATTATCTATTAAAATTGAAGGGAAACAAAATGATCACACTTGCTACTCCTTTACTAAGAGTGATGAGTGATCATTTGGGTGTTTCCTTGATTTCAGGTTCATTCTCAAGTTTTTTGCAAATAACTATTTGGGTGACCTTATATTTGATATTCGGTTAGCGTTATAAAATGGTTTTTT